GGGGTGTGCGATAGACTTACCTCCACGTGGTGCACCCTGGGCAACGTATACTCATACGGCAAAAGTCTATTAACCGGCAGTTGACTTCTCACTTCAAACTACCATGAACTCGCTGTATGACATATTCGACCACTTCCACAGTACTAACATCACATTTTTTCTAAATTTTCAACCTTCGTCTTTGAAACACTCTTTAGTTCCCCTACTCTCGACTTTTTTCACTTTGATGTTCCTTCCCCTCTGTGAAGCCCAGAGTCAACTAAAGGGCTAATGATAACCATCAAAACGCCTGCCATTTGATATAAATAAATACTGTGCAAAACATTTTAAGCTTTTTTAAGATGAATATGGTGCATATAAATTGTCAAGACCACACGGCGCACAGTTACGGGTGTTTGGATTAACAGCAACTTCCACGATCATATATTTTAAAATTACTATAAAAGTGTATTCGTGAATTGAAGTTACCCAGGCAAATTAAATTTAATCCATGACGAACATGCAAGTGTAAGAGAACGATGTAATAATATTGACACAGTGGGAGCTCAACGAGTTCTAAGAAAGGCCTGAGGAAGCAACCAAATGGATCAGAGTGACTACAAGTAAGTTGCATTAATTAGCCGCATTTAAGGCGCAATAAGTACTGCCTTGCACTAAACGGAATGGCAAGGTCAAATACATGTGTTCTAGCTTCTCGCAGAGTGAAAAATAACACAAACATTTGGGATTTTGAAAAAGCAACCATAATCATCAATCATTGAAGGATTTAGAAGAATTAGTCGAGTAATATTCAACGTAGCCTAAAATAACATCCACTCCCCACCCCAACACTCCTATAGGATCAAACACATAAATAAAAAAGGAGTTGTATTATAAGCACAAATATATTCACCACATTCTAGGACCATACATCTTCAGCAGTTCGTTAGGAGGGGGTTCCGCCTGGGCGGTGGTGGTGGTGGTATCGGTTTGCTGCTGGAAGCAGCAACATATGTTTTTAAAGATGAGGTAGTAGAGGATGTAGCTTTTGAGATCGTCCGCTGTTATTGCCGTACCCATAGTTACTTTGTGCGCGAGAATTGCGGGTTGAGGATGCATTTATATACGTCCCGGATAACTGCATATGGACGACCCCAAAAAATGCGAAAGTTATGACAACAACGAATAACCTTGAACTATTGTTAAAATACGTGGAAGCGGTGATTTTCGCGAAGTATTTTCTAAACATGGGTTACGCAATCGATTTACCTCCACGTGGTGTACCCTGGACAACATATACACACGGCAAAAAGTCTAACAACCGTCTGTTAACTTCTGACTTCAAACTACCATCACCCCACTGCATGTCATATTCACCGCTTCCACAGTACTCATCTTAACTTTTCTCTGCCTTTGTGTCTATCTGTCTGTCTCTTTTACATTTGTGAATCATTATTCTGTCCCCCCCCCGACTTTTTGTCACTTTGATGTTCCTCCTAGTCTCTGTAACGCCCGAAGTCAAAGCTAAATGAATAATGATGACTATCATAGCGCCTGCCATTAGAAATAGATAAATAAATGTTATTAACTCAAAATTAACATGCCGTATAGTATTAAGTTAAAAAGAAATAAAGAATTCCAAAAGAACATTACTCAATGCATGAAGGCAACTCATATGTGTTAAGTATATGTTGGTGGTAATAAAAGAATAGATATTTTGGGTAACCTCTCTCTCCCCATGAACCCATTAGCAGACATTGATGTAGTGTGTCGCACCCAACTGCTCGACTTCTTCAGGAAATCAAACACTCCTCCCGAGCAAATGCGCTCACTGGCCCTTGAGACAATCAATGTCAACTATCCTGCAGATCAATGGCTCCAGGTCTTCACTGATGGGTCATACACAGAAAACCAAGCAAACGTTGGTGCAGGTGTCTATTCTGAACTCTTCTCTTTCTACGCAGCAGCGGGACATAATAGATCCGCTTTTGAAGGAGAAATAGAGGCCATTAGGATAGCACTACGCCAATTATGTTGCCTGGATACGAAATTCACCAAAGCGGTGATACTTTCGGACTCACAGTCAGCAATAAACTCTATTGGAAACAGAGAGACACCCAAAACAGCTGAGATAAAGGAATGTAGAAAACTCTATGAG